ACCCAACAGTAGAGAGAGATTCCACTATTGGAAAGGTTATAGCATAACCAAGGAAACTAAGAGTGGATCCCAATTAATGCCGACGTTAAATCCTAGTGATTGTGCATGCTCTTAAGACCTTGAGCATTCCCATATTCAACAAGTTTTACCAATATTCGTGTCAAGGATCCTGGCAACACAACATACTACCATGATGAATAATGGTGGAGGATGCAGATGCAAAGAAAGGTAACACTTTCTCAGAATTCACCTTAGCGAGGCCAAGGGATCAAAATCTGGAGGATCGACCGAGAGACATTTAGCACTCCGCTTCTAATGTTCTCCTTGGTGTGCTAGCGTAGCCCATTTATTGATATTGTTTGGTATCTAGAACATCAAGTAAAAGGTCGGATTTCGGGAACACAAGAATCCATAAGGAATAACTTCGGAAGTAAATCCTACGGAATGCTTATGGGGAGGTGACCTACTTTATCAATCAGGATACTACAATAATAGATCTTCCGACTGGGTGTGTTGGCCACGACATCCACTTTAGCGGGTTACAAAGAGACCAATATTATAATTCTTGGGGACGTCCCAACCATCATATCTGCCCGGGATTCAGATCTGGTTAGTAACAGGATACTTCAGACTCAACATGTTTGAAAAGAAGAGTTGCAACACAAATCGACGAGATAACGTTGCGAGATTCTCGGGAAATGAACTACGATAGCAAGCTCCAAAACATGAGCTAGTTCTTCTACACACACGTGAACACGCTGTCCCAGACAAGCATGACCACGTAGTAGTCTCATGATATAACACTACCGAGTTCAGGTTGGGAACCATCATCGAGGGTAATGAAGTCCTAGCATAAGTCATGATTCTTAAGAAGGAACTTCTTCTCCTTGAGCAAATCAATCAGTGGCTTGGTGTGCTAGGGAATACATATGGAGTGGAGGTAATTAATCTACCAAACCATATAATACCTTCGCACTTGCATATCTAACTTGGGATGATTCCAAAGGAAACAAAAACAATGTTTCTCGAACTCACGGCGGCAGCTTGCACCAAATGCACATGAATTCAAGGAAGTCACTTCTTCCATCCAAGCATAAGCTTCATGAACGAAACACGAATGCATTGCTTACAAAGTTTTCAACACTAGGTTGATGTTCAACATGAATCATGGGGGAGACAAAATGCTGCTGATGGGCTCAACAACAATCCATCGAGGCTTCCCAATGATGAAGTTCCACAACTATGTGAACCAGGTGATAGCATTGTTTAGACCAAAAGATATAATGGTGTAGGCTCGAGGAATCAACCACGAGTGAGACAACATTATGAACATCGTTGGTACTGATTTGATTTGGTGATAGCCCATACTCAAATCAAGTTTTGATAAGACAATAGGTCCAACAACTGATCACAGGGACCAATCGATGAAGATATCATCTTTCTTCAACTAACACACAACACAAGGATATCCCTTTGAAACAAACTAAATTAGGTAAGTTTTATCTTCCAACTCTCCAAGTTGTTGTTTAGCTTAACCAATATCAACTCTAGGCCAATGGCAATCTGCATAAGTATATTGCCAAACCACTTGTCATTCCACCTTTGGAGGTGCTTTGCGGTGGCCCGCAATTTATTGTTCAACACCATGTAGGGGTTGCCCTCCGATGATGTGGAGTGCCACGCCTCCTGCGCCGTTTCCATGAAACCCGGGTCCTTGGGCCAGAAGGCTTCGAACTTGAAGCGTTTCCCATATTGGAAGTCAGCGTGCATGTCCACCAAAAGTGGGAAGTGGTCTGAGGCTGCTGAGCTCACCGCCATTAGGAAGCTAGAAGGGTATAAATCCTCCCAACAATTCGTCCCGAACACATGATCAATCCTTTCCAATGTCGCCCTGGACCTCTCGTTGGACCAAGTATAGCGTCTCCCATTCAAGTATATCTCCTTGAGCTCCAGCTTATTAAGCTTGGACCGAAAACGGCTGATCATGTGGCGGTTGACAGAGTCGTTGTTCTTATCCTCCGGGTTGACTAGAAGATTGAAGTCGCCAACCAACAACCACGAGCCAGCCAAAAGCTCCTGGACCTCCACCAATTCCCTCATGAATTCTACTTTGGCCACATCCTCCGAGGATGGTCCATACACACCCATTAGCCACCACACTGGTGCTCCCAAGGGCTGCACAAGGGCGGACAACGTGTTTTCCGAAAGGTGGGGGTTGGACAATGTAACCGCAAGCGGGTCCCAAGCTAACAAAATGCCGCCGCATGTCCCAATCGCCGGGAGGTAGTAAAAACTCTCAAATTTACTACCGAGGCATTGTTTGACAACCTCAAGCGTTACAACCTCCAACTTAGTTTCTTGGAAGCACACGATGCTAGGGTCAACCGAGGCCACCACTTGGAAGATAGCGTGCCGCCTCGCCGGCAAGTTGAGCCCATGGACATTCCACAACAGCATTTTTATCGGTTGTTCGGCCATAGAAACAGCCCGCAAAAACAACCAAAGGAAAGGGTGTTAAACCCTCGCTCCTTCTACCTCGTCCTGCATCGGGAGGGCCGACGGCTCCCAACCAAAGAGCGCTAGTATGGCAACGGTGTGGGTATCATTCAGCGGCTGCTCGAACAGGCGGATGTATGCTTGCAGCGCCTCATCGCCAATTGTATCTCCTTCGTGGGCTAATCAGAGATTGTGGATGATCACTTGCTGTTGCTTGCTTGCCGCCGAGCCATGGGCCCTTCTTCTTGCCAAGCACACGCTTCGCCTGGGTGTAGACAGACCCACCTGCCTCCGCTGCCGCGGAAGCTTCGTCGGGGGAGGGGGGGGGCACGAGTTGCTGGATTTTGTAGGATGGGAGAAAGCGCCCTCTGGACTTGAGCGCATAATGCATCAAGGCGTGCGCATGCAGCCATTTGGGACTCCTGCTGTGAGTGGGCCCCCTCCCATTGTGTGTTAGGGACCGAACCTCCTCAGAGAGGCTGACCAGGAAAGTGTCCAACTCATGCACTTGTCCCATACAATGCGCGGTGGTGGCTGCCTCCGAGCTACACTGGCAATTGGACGAGGGAGGCGAGAGCTGCATGGGATCCGGTCCCTCCCCCAATCCGGGCTGGTCTTCGTGCACAGGATCTGCTGGCTCTGCATGCTCAGTTTCCATTTGCTGCATGTCCAATGCCCAATCCGCGTCGTCCTGTGGTGATACAAGAGATTGCATGTGGCGGGCCCCCGCGGATGTGGACAACTGAGAGGGTGCTTGGATACAAGGGACTATTTTTAGTCTGACTAAAAATAGTCTCTTTTAGAGGCTAAAGTTCCAAGCACCCCTGACTAAAGAGAGGCTAGGACTAGTCTTGAGGCTAAAATCTTTTAGTCATGGGAAACCTACTAAAATATGTATTAGCTCTCTCTCTCCTCATTTAATTCCTCTCCTTAGTTCTGAATTGGAGGGTTTGGAGGATAATAAATGCTCAATAACTAGATTTTAGTCTCTTTAGTATTTGGATCCAAACATGGGTGAGACTAGCAAGTTTTAGTCCCACTACTTTTAGTCATGGGACTAAAACGTATTCTCTGAATTGTCCAGACGCGGAACGCCAGGGCCGATCGTGCCAGATCCGAGGCGGCATGATCACTGGCCTCCTCCTGCTGCGCGTGGGAACCATGCCACCGCGGCAGCGTCACCGAGGCGGGAGGCCCCACCTCCACTTGGCCAGCACGGGGAGAAGCCGAGCCACGGCTGGACTCTGGGCCCACACCGCTTTCAGCCAGAGCCCGCTTGTCTTCCACACTGGTCTCCATGCACTTGCCCGCTGACGGGGCCCCTTGTACCAACCCGATCACACTTTAGGTGTCATTCCCTGTCCCCACTGTGACGCCATCACGACCAGCAGAACGCGCGGGCTACCGAACCTCCGCCGATATTTGAACTGGCCGTGCCCTCTCCGGTGGTGAGGCGTCCACCAGCCTGGCGGGCGGCGCCGGCCGATTGCCAGGGCGGGCGGGAGGTTGGGCGAGCGCAGGTGCCTGCCCATGGTGGCCAGCACTGGGGTGCTAGAAGCTAGGCGGGACGACTAACGACCTACTCCAAGTTCTGGCCCGTCATGTCTGGACAGCAGCAAAAGAAGTGAGGCACCGGTGGCGCGCAGCTGTCGGACCATGACGGGATGCTGGTGGCCTACACGCCGCCGCTAGTCGCCGCCGCGGCGTCCTTCGTCGTGCCGGGTGCCGTGGAAGGGCTGCGCGCGGAGCTCCTCGCCGCCGCGCTCGCCGTCCACTTCCTCAAGCGTGTCCTCAAGGTAAAAGTCTTGTTCAAGATTTACTCGGGAAAAAAAAATACTCTCTCCGTCCCGAAATACTCGTCGGAGAACTAGACAAAAATAGATGTATATAGAATTAAAATACGTCTAGATATATCCATTTCTCCAACAAATAGTTCTGAACAAAGAGAGTACTAACGAAGAACTGGTCTTTAGGTGCCACAAAAAGTATCGGAAATCATGTACTTCAACCATGTTTTTCCCCTGACCGAGACATGTTATAGAAGTGGGGTTCACATCTTGGATGAAATTGACAAGAAAATCAGGAATTTTAGTGCATTTCGGTTAATCGATTGTGGTGACACATGAATTTGAGTCAAATTTAAACAAAATGCAAACTTATTTCGTCAAACTTTATTTGAATTAGAGTTGAATATTTTCTCTCATTTGACTGAAAAATGGGAAGAGAAATCAAGGAAGAGAAATCTCTGTGTTTTCAACAAGGTTCAATGGTAGTTGAAACCTAAAAGAAAAACCTGAGGACTAAACTTCACAATAATTTGATGATCTCCAATTTTTTATAGGTTTATTGAAAACAAATCGTGTTCCAATAGAGGCATGAATATTGTTCCATTACAATCTAGTACTTCCTCCATTTCAAAATAAGTTTCCTGGTTTTAGTTCAAACCACTACTTAATTTGCTCTTTTACAAGGTACTCTTCATCCACGGGTACAGTAGAAACATGCTACTCAACACGGCGCTCACCATCTCCTCCAGCTACCTGCTCAGCGCCATCACCATGATCTACGCGCGACACCTCGCCGTCGAACTCCCTGACCATACAACGGACCTCCTCTACCCAGGCGTCCTCCTCTTGGCCGTTGGCATCGCCGGCAACTTCTACCACCACTACCTCATCTCGCAACTTAGGAAGGGAGGTGACAACGATACAGGGTACAAGATCCCCAAAGGCGGGCTCTTCGAGTTCATCACCTGCCCGCACTACCTCTTCGAGATCACCGGATTCTTCGGGTTCGCGATGATCTCGCAGACGGTTTATGCGCTCGCAATGGCCTCTGGCATGGCAGGCTACCTCGTCGGCGAAGCTTCGCCACCCAAAGATGGCAAGAATCCAAGTTCGAGGAGTTCCCGGCTAGCATTAAGGCTCTGGTGCCCTATATCTTGTAGTGAGCCAGCTAATTGGTTGACAACCGGTTTGTCTATTCACAAGCAGTCTCATATTTATCTAACATCGGCGACCATTCTAAGCCTTTGTGTCTGTCGACCCCTAATATTCATCTCACTCCATACATAAACTACCGACTAAAAAAATTAATTGATGCTGGACATTTTGCTAAACTGCACACGCTGAAAAAACATAGCTTGCAGAATGTTCGTTCTTCATGTTTCAAAGACTTAAGAAATTATGGTCCATACATCAAACAAAATCCATTAGGGCATTTCTAACCGATCCCCTATCTGAGCGTAAGGGATGATAATTTCAGTTTTCTTCCCTTACGGCGCACCTAGCCGAAGTACTAAAATCTATAAAGGAGTAAAATCATCATCCGCAGTCCAAAATCACTTCCAATCACCCTAAATATGCTCACTCCCGTTGCGGCTGAGTGAAAGTGGAAGCCTCTTTCTCCCACCACCGCGCTGTCCTGTCTCCCGCTGCCACAACCACCACGCCCCGTTGCCACCATCGATGACCGTCTCTCTGGCCAGAATGGATAGCCCGGTCCCTTCCCACACCCGACCGGCCACCGGCGCCGGCTTGTTGCCACGGGAAACCACCCACGCGCCACCGCCCGCGCCGAAGAAAACTTCGGGGATGAAAGAAACCCACCGGGTCCAAGCTCCTCCAACTGGGGCAATGGCCTCCAATGTGGCGACCGCCTCTCCGGCCATGGCTTGTGTCAGAATGTGTTCTCCAGACACCGGGGATCAAGGATACCTTGTATTTGTGGGTTCGGCCAGGGGCTAAACGCCTAGTCAGTCCACTATCAAGGGAACACAAGGAAACATGGACACAACGGATTTTATACAGGTTCAGGCCGTCATGCTAGCTTAAAACCCTATGTCCTTTTTGTATTCATATAATCTATGGAATACAATTGCTCAAGTTGTCACGGGATGACCCCCGGGTAGGCTCAAGGAAAGAAGTTAACATTTCAAAGTATCGGGATGGCTCAGGTCCCTCAAATTGACTGGCCCTCCAACTGGCTCCCCCCGCTTGATGTCGGCTTGGGCTGGCTGGCCGCAGCCGGCAGCTAGCGGGCTCAGCGCACACAAATCCAAGCGTATAACAAGACACCCGCCACGTCATGGAGAGCATGGCTACAGTGTCACCCGTACCGCTGACCGGGGTTGCCTACGTCAGTGCGGCCCGGCACTGTAAAGGCATACTGTCAACCACTCCGTCATGCCGTGACCTACGAGCAACAATATCATGCAGCCGGCGGGCCCTACGACCAACATGACCCCACAGCTGATGGGCCCCACTAGAGGCCAGAGACGCTGGCACCAGGGGCCCACCCCTCTTTCTTAACCATTTTGTAACCTGGGAGACCCAAGTATAAGACATCCCAGCAGTCCCATAAGGGGGGCGGCTCATTCTTTCCACACTCCCACACACTCGAGGCAGAGAGCAGAGATGGAGCTCTCTTCTTCCTCCACCAATACAACTCTTGGAGCAACCATGTACACCCCGTGTAGATCATAGTGATCCTTGTAGGACTAGGGTTGTTACCTCCATCAGAGGGCAATGAACCTAGCTATGTCTCTGTGTACATCAGTGCACGTGCGTAATCGCGCATCAGGACGCCGTGGGCGCTGATCGGCCCCTAACCACACGAGATAAGCCATCCCATGGCATCTGCCATGAGAATACCACGACAGTTGGCGCCCACCATGGGGTCTGACGCGGCATTGGCCAAAATAATGTTCCGGACAAGACCCTACATTCCCTCCGGCGAGCATGTTGCGCATGGCCTGGTCATTACGTTTGGTGCACTTGACTGCGTCAACAATAGTGCGACACATTTAACAGACGCCGACTTACCTATGGGCGGCTCCATCACCCCTTTCGCTGACCACCGCGTCTATGCCGCGGTCGTCTCTGACGAGTACCCTTGCGAGGTGCTCACCTTCACTGACCCACCTATCTTGGATAGCTATGGCATCTCCCATGAAGTTCTTGACCTCTCCACCCACATTGAGGTGTTGACCACCTGCTTCAGCACTACTGCGGTGACGGCTGCTCATGCCTGCCAGGAAAACCTGCTCCGCACAATGTTCTTGAGCCTGCACGCACCCACTGCAATCGGCATGGACACCAACATTGTCGCGACCGAGCTTGAGGAGAAGGGAAAGCGCCTGCTCGATGAGGCCATTTGGCTTGCTACCACGTAGTGCCGGCTGGAGTCCATACTGCGTGAGTACAACTCCGCCCACGGCTTCACCCTGACTGGCGAGGGGCCCAGCCGGCTAGAGGAGGTGCAACGCTAGGGCACGACTATTAGCCAGATGTTGGGTGCAGCCCGACCCACTCCGCCGTCAAGAACATGAGGGCGGAAGAGACATCCGCAGCCAAGCTGGAACACATGAGGGCGAGGAGCTGCTGCTGCAGCAGCAGCGTGTCCTCGATCTTCTGGCTGCCGTGAACCAGCAGTAGGCACAATCGGTATTTCCTGAACAGCCGTCCGCTTCTCGCTCTGGGACCCCTCTTCTGGAACTGGCCGACCAGCGGGCGGCTGAGGGTCCTCAGCCGGCACAACAAGCATCTTCATTGAATGGCAACAAGAAGCCAGCTGCGGGGCAATCAGAGCAAAGGTATCCGCGACCGCCGACTGTCAACAGCCGAGTGAACGAGTCGGCTGGCAAAGCACGCCACTAGCCGGCACGGCAGCCCCCACCTGCACGTTGGGGCAAGCCGGCATTCGCAGGGCCGACTGCGCGCCCTATGTTAAGTGAGCGGCTAGGGCCGTGGGTCCCTCATGACGAGTAAGACGCTCGCCAATGTGTCGAGCGGCTGGCACAATCCCTGGCCTTGAAGGGGGAAAGTTCTACCGGCCAGGCATGCTTCAGGCCGCACATTCACGAGGAGCCTTTTTCCAAGGGTTTCATGCTGGTGTCGTGGACAAGGGGGTACCAACCTAGTTGGCCCACAGTCCATGGGTCGAGCTTATGTCTCATTGACGTCACAAGGGAGGACTATAGAAGCCTCGACCTTAGACATGACCAAGATGGACTCGCCCAAAGACTTGGCATGTACTTCAAGGACTACTTCGCCTGTTGGCATGTTTATCCCTAGTTGGCAACTGACCATGTGTAACCCCAGATACCCAGTACCTATATAAGCTGAGGGGTTTTAGTCCGTAGAGAGATAATCACAATTTACCTACCTTAGGGTTAGAACTCAACATACGATCTCGGGGTAGATCAAGCATGTACTCGATACATCATCATTAATACAATCAAAACATGACATAGGGTTTTACCTCCTCGAAAGGGCCCGAACTTGGTTAAACTAATGTCTCCCCCGTCTCTTGTTACCCATTGATCCGAGTGCTGTCTCATCAGATCTTGACCTCGAGTCAAGCCAGGACTATGAGGCAGCATCAAGCAACCAACGGAGCATATTTCATTTCGTCCTGGCTTACAGACAGGCCATGGGTCCGAGAGATCTCCCGCAGATAAACGAGATGCTAGACCGGATTTAGAATCTAGTGAACTCACCCTCGGTCTATGATACGATCGAATATAAAGCCGATACTAGGGAAATTTACATCCCACCCACCACTCACCTAGTCGCTACAATTGAGGACTTAACTGACGTCCCGAACTACGCTGATGACCTACAAGTATAGGGGATCTATCGTAGTCCTTTCGATAAGTAAGAGTGTCGAACCCAACGAGGAGCAGAAGGAAATGACAAGCGGTTTTCAGCAAGGTATTCTCTGCAAGCACTGAAATAATAGGTAACAGATAGTTTTGTGATAGGATAATTTGTAACGAGTAACAAGTAACAAGAGTAAATAAAGTGCAGCAAGGTGGCCCAATCCTTTTTGTAGCAAAGGACAAGCCTGGACAAACTCTTATATAGAGAAAAGCGCTCCCGAGGACACATGGGAATATCATCAAGCTAGTTTTCATCACGTTCATATGATTCGCGTTCAGTACTTTGATAATTTGGTATGTGGGTGGACCGGTGCTTGGGTACCGTCCTTTCTTGGACAAGCATCCCACTTATGATTAACCTCTATTGCAAGCATCCACAACTACAACGTATTAAGGTAAACCTAACCATAGCATGAAACATATGGCTCCAAATCAGCACCTTACGAAGCAACGCATAAACTAGGGTTTAAACTTCTGTCACTCTAGCAACCCATCATCTACTTATTACTTCCCAATGCCTTCCTCTAGACCCAAATAATGGTGAACTGTCATGTAGTCGACGTTCACATAACACCACTAGAGGAGAGACAACATACATCTCATCAAAATATCGAATGAATACCAAATTCACATCACTACTAATAGAAAGACTTCTCCCATGTCCTCAGGAACAAACGTAACTACTCACAAAGCATATTCATGTTCATAATCAGAGGGATATTAATGTGCATATAGGATCTAAACATATGATCTTCCACCAAATAAACCAACTAGCATCAACTACAAGGAGTAATTAACACTACTAGCAACCCACAGGTAACAATCATAGACTTGGAGACAAGAATTGGATACAAGAGATGAACTAGGGTTTTGAGAGGAGATGGTGCTGGTGAAGATGTTGATGGATATTGCCCTCTCCTGATGAGAGGAGCGTTGGTGATGACGATGGCGATGATTTCCCCCTCCCGGAGGGAAGTTTCCCCGGAAGAACAGCTCTGCCAGAGCCCTAGATTGGTTCCGCCTCGTGGCGGCGGAGTCTCGTCCGAAAAGATGGCTTATGATTTTTTCCTCATCGAAAGACTCCATATAGCAGAAGATGGCCATCGGAGGGCCACCAGGGGGCCCACGAGGTAGGGGGCGCGCCCAGGGGGTAGGGCACGCCCCCACCCTCGTGGGCAGGGTGTGGCCCCCCTGGTGAACTTCTTGCGCTCGGTATTTTTTATATATTCTGAAAATGACTTCCATGAATTTTCAGGACTTTTGGAGCTGTGCAGAATAGGTCTCTAATATTTGCTCCTTTCCCAGCCCAGAATCCCAGCTGCCGACATTCTCCCTCTTTATGTCAACCTTATAAAATAAGAGAGAATAGGCATAAGTATTGCGACATAATGTGTAATAATAGCCCATAATGCAATAAATATTGATATAAAAGCATGATGCAAAATGGACGTATCAACTCCCCCAAGCTTAGACCTCGCTTGTCCTCAAGCGGAAGCTGGAATCGAAAAATATGTCCACATGTTTAGAGATAGAGGTGTCGATAAAAAATAAAATACGGACATGAGGGCATCATGATCATTCTTAGAACATCAACTTATATAATTCTTGTCATATGATCTCTTATGCTAGAGTAACAATTCAATCACAATTTCAAGCTTGAATCATAAACTTCATTGAAAACTAACAAACTATAATCTCAGTCATTGGAGCAATTGCAATTTATCATAACATAGGAAAGAGTCAATATATAAGAGCTTTTCAGCAAGTCCACATACTCAACTATCATATAGTCTTTCACAATTGCTAACACTCACGCAATACTTATGGGTATGGAGTTTTAATCAGACACAGAGAAAGATAGGGGCTTATAATTTTGCCTCCCAATGTTTTACCTCAAGGGTAATGTTAACAATAATAGTCCATGAAAACTCACATCCAATTAGCCATATATACCAGGATCTTTCCAACATGTTGTGCTTGCCAAAAGATAAAATGTAAAAAGGAAGGGT